TCTCTCTCTCTCTCTCTCTCTCTCTCTCTCTCTCTCTCTCTCTCTCTCTCTCTCTCTCTCTCTCTCTCTCTCTCTCTTTCTCTCCCTCTCTCTCTTTCTCTCTCTCACTCTCTCTCTTCCTCTCTCTATCTCTCTCTCTCTACCATTTACCCATGGCGAGGGTTATCATTATCGGTCGGAGCGCGTGGATCAGGAATAAAGCCGACGTAACCATCGTTATGCGGGTTAGGCCACCTCATACGCATCGCCTCCTCGAATTCCGCCGGGTGTCTCTGATGGCGAGTGTAACCGCAGAGGTTCGCGAACTCCCTATACCCTGCGAATCTGTTAGCCGCCGCGTCCAATTGATCGTTTCCCAACGAGGATATGCAAAAACTGCTCTTTGGGGTCCTCCTCACCGACAATCAGTACCGCGGTCTCAACCAAAAACGCGGGATGCGGCCATGTTGCTCGTATTTCATCCCCGTTCATTTGCGGGCGAGGACGTCGTGGGCGACGTGCGGTGACGACTGCTGGCCCAAGCCCGGCCCCCCCTCGACCGCGCACAACTCTACGTCTTGGTCGACGACCGTACACCATGTCCCCATCATCTTCATTGATGGGTGCTTGAGGTTGTGGCTGCTCCATTATAGTGTGCGTCGTGAGTATCTGCAACAGATGCGGTGGAAGTCAGTGTCCGTGCGCGGAACATGGAAATCAAATATCCAGAAAAATGTTCGATCTTGCAGATAGAGTATAGCGGACAAATGACAAGCCTCCACACACCGTTTCGAGGCTTTAACTTTGACATTACAACTCCAACATCGTCGGGGTTGTTATTTCCGAGCACTAGGCTTTCATCTAGATCCACGAGTCCAAGTTCGAGGGCCCGGGACAACGACCGAAATGTTTTTGTTTCTTCAACTTTTGAGAATTTCGTCCTTCGCAGCCAACAGAGTTATGCTCCTCGTCATGACCCGAACCCCGACACAACACGGAAACATACGACCCGGAGTTGTCTCGGGATTTACTGATTGAGTCGGGCGTCTGGGTCGTGCTTCATGATAGGGAGGCCGCAGCTTGTGGCAAAGAGAAACCGAGTTGGACTTCAGTGCAGCCACGAATGTCGCGGCCCGACACAAGGAACGGAGTCGAATGGTTAGTGGAATCGACACGTGGCTTGCCCTCCTCGCACAGCAGCCGTTGCTCACGTATTGTGCAAAGAGCCTCCCGGTTATCCAATTTCATTTTTTTTTTCCGCAAGGACGACACAATTGTTTGCACCCGAGAACACGATGTCGATAGCACAGCACGTGCGTTGTTGAGGTCGTTTGTCACATCCTCTATATGTTTTTCTATGTCGTCGAAGTCATATTTGCCTTCATTGCCTTCTGCAATTGACTTGTCAAGGCCGTCCGTTATGCATGGTGGCAGACAGCGCATACGCTCACGGAGCGAATACTTTTTTCGGTTATCATGAGGATTCATGACACAACCACAGACTGAGCGACGTGATATCTGGAAACACAAAACAAAAAACAAGAGTCGTGAACACATCACACATTATGGGTCGAGGATGATGTCGCGCCCCGTTCATACACGATATATATATATATATATATATATATATATATATATATATATATATATATATATATATCACAGCCC